ATCTCTCTCTTTCTCTCTTTTATTATTATTCAATTTATTCCCGCTTATTTCCACGTCTCTCAATTTTCAACCGAAGTTAAAAGGTCCAAGATAATACACATTCTAACTGCTATCATTCAAATCGTAATTGATGTTACGTGTTAAGTGGATTCTTTTTTTTCTGCATAAGCTCGACAAAAAAAAATCGATGTACAAAAGCGAAAATACGAAAACTTTTGTGAAGTCGTCAGCAGTTGTCCGAAATGCTCTTTGTCATCCAATTACAAGAACGAATGAAATCGAAGTGGTTGCCTCTTCAAAATGAAAGAAAAATTAAAACTCGGCAAATTGTCACAGCGAATCGTTTTCTTTACACGAAGTGAAGAAAAACAGTTGCAGGTGTTTCGATTACGGCGAAAATTCGATCAATGAAAAGAATTATAACCTTTTTTTTCGCTGCCAGAAAATAAAGAATTCCGGTCGCGTTACCGAGTCTAGGTGTTCAAATTCCAGTTTCAATTCCTTTTTGAATTTAGCCAAATATTTGCTTTCAACCAGCGTTTTCACAACCCGAAAGCGAATGAAAAGCGACGCACACACATTTTGAGTAGAAGCCGAAGAAGAAGAGAAACAATGGCAAATATTTACGCCCTTTGATCTAGTCACTTAAGCGTAGTTATGCCTCCGCTTTTGGTTCTAAGGCCGCGCTTCAGTGCTTTAAAAACCATGAAACATTTTCCAAAACATTAAAGTCATCTGGTTTTTGTTCGTGTACCGTCGTGGCCGTGTATTCGCAGAAGCGTGCTCGCAACACTGTAACATAACAAATAATGAGATGTTTTGTATCATCATCAAAAGCACGGCAATGAGGGAAAATTTGGCAAATGAAAAACACCAGAAAAATCCGGAACTCCAAAGCCGCTTGGATCGAACACACACACACAAGGTGAATTGTGTAAGCGTGCGAGAGCGGCCGCCTTCCCGACCCAATCAAAAAAAATTAGCTAAATCTCTTCCGCATTCATGATTTTTTGGAAACGGATTTGCGTTTGAGAGTTTATTCAAAGCAATTTGTTGTCTCTCTTTCTATCTCATTCTCTCGCGTACACTCGCACTTCTAACCCACCGCCACACGTTCACTGCCTGGCATTATAAAAATGTTTCTTCTGCTCGAACAAACGATTTGCGAGAGCACCTGGCATTAAATGCAAGAAAAGTTGGAAAAAGAGATTAAGCAATCTTTCGATCCGGAGTTCATGTGAGGATAAGCCAATAGGCACCGAGAAGATGCCTTTAGAATACCGAAACGAATAAATAAAAGCAAATGTACGGTTTTACAATTATGATGTCATCTGGAAAGTGAACCCACATCGGTACACAGTGAAAAAGGAAGAAAAATGAATTGGTCGAAGAAAGCAGTTCGAACAAATGTTCACAAGACACTTTTGTTTTCCCAAACAACTTCTGCCGTGGTATAAACGAAGATACTGACTAGATATCAGTCGAAGTCTCTCTTTTGAATTGGCCATCCCATTATCTAACACACAAAAAGATTCCAGACGCTCAAATATGCAATATTCCTTCATTCATTTGTTGTGTGTGCGTGTGCGAATATTCAAAGGGACAAATAATAATTTGAATACAAGCAGCAAATTTTGAATGCAGATGGAAATATGGCAAGCAAGCAAAAAAGCCGTGAATCAAAGGGAAAACTTTCAAGTGCACAATTTTCATAAAATACGATATGAACTTTTCGGTCTTTCGTCGGCGGCTAAAAGAAAATCCCAACAAAGAATGCATAAAGTAAAAGTTATTTTAGTTGAACTCTGTGAATCAGTTTTGTTGTTTGACTTTTCACTCTTTTGATGAAATTCGATTATTGCCTGTGTGCAATTTCGACCGAAGAACAATATCACATCGATACAATGCTTGAAATTACTCAGAGAATTTACAACGAAATCCATTTTGTTTAAAGAAATATCTCGTTTTTTTCGCTGTTGTTTTCGATCACAGGCAGAGAGAGAGAGACAGTGGTGATTGCGAATAATTATGATAAAGCCATAAATCGAAATGGATGTCCTTTCAGAAGCAATGAACCAATTTTGTAATTGGTGTGCAAATTAAAAATGTCTGTTGATAAATTAGTCGAATGCGAAATGTATACAGTATACGCTCTGTTACAATAATGATGTACGGTGTATGGGAATCAATTTTAATCGCATTATGCAATTTAATGAGTAAAATCTGCTCCATGCACATGCACACCGTGTATATAAAATATTTTTGTTCCAATATATTTCGCGAAATATCACCGGTTCGGTGTTTGATGTATCAAAGATTAAAAACTGTTTAATTTTCCCAGTGTTTTTTGTTCGAAACAAGGGACATGCTTATAGTAAAAATGGGCAAAAAGGGAATTTTATTGCATTAATAGATAACATTGAACGAAACAAAAAAAAACATACCCGTACATACAATTTACTTATCGAGTCACCATTTTGGTTTTTTTTAAATATTTTATTTTTTTTTGCGACAAAAAAAAACCAACAAAAAATTAACAATATCATTGAAAATCATCGTAAATCGAATGAACATTTTATGAATGCGTTTGACTGCGTTTTTGTCTCACCATTGAATTAAAGTAATTAAAATGCCCGATGGCAAAATACAAATATATTCACAGAGAAGAAAAAAATATTGTAAAATGAGTGCGACCGCTAATGTCGAATGCTAAACATTTTTGTCGAATGCGCATAAAATTTTCATTCGATTTTCGGAATTGATTGCATGCCGTAATGTCATCTCTCTTTCTCACATACTCACATACGCACATACGAGAATACAAATCGCAATGTGAATAGCTCCGTTTTGATGACGAATAGACCAAACAAAAGAAAATCACGTACATTTTTGTTTTCATCTACCATTTTTGTTTGCACACTCTCGTCAATAAACCGAATGAAGCCAACAGAAATGGAAAAACAGCAAAAATTTAATGCTTGTGTAATTTGTTAATATGCTTCGATTTTTATTTACTTTTTGCCTTTCCAATGTGCAATTTGACACATCACTCTTTTGATGGCATTTCGCACTAAAAAAAGTTAACACAGTTTATTGATGTCCATATTTTTGAGCTTCTTCATCCGATTTGTAACATCAAACGAATAAATTTCATTCAATTAGCAAACGTTTTGATGCGATAATGCGAGTAATTGTGAGGGAAAAATGTTTCAGATAAAAATAACGTTTTATTCCATTTCCATTTCCTTTGCAACAAGTTCAATGGTACTTTTCGAGGAATGATGGGGAAAAAAGTAGAGGGGAAAATAATGACAAATTGATATTTCTATAAAAATTCCACTTTCAAATAGATTTTTTTCATGGCACCATTTACACGGTTCATTTATTCATTTTCACAACCTTTGACTGAGTCGCGCACGACAGAGACGTCACATTTCAATTTCAGTCTTCGACGATATCAGTATTTTTCGCTGGATGAAACAAAACAACTGCCAAAGATGCACTGTGATAGATCATTAAACGCTTGAATTGAGTTCATTGAAATGCTGTTCGATGCAACGACCCGTAATGGGATTATGAATGGCACATTCATCAATCAACACTCGTTTGAAATCGCAATCATTATTTATCTAAGCAAGATAATTCGCTCACTCCTCGAGATATGCGCACAGATCCATTTGCATTAAATTCATTTCTGTTGACTTTGTTCGCGCGTGCACGCCGCGGGGAGTTAAAATGTGTGCAACAAAGCAACCCCATAGTATCGATTTTTAATGAATAAAAAGCAAAACAAAAAATTGAGTGACAAATTTTTTACTGCATTTGATTGATTGAACTTACCCCAATTGTTTTTTTTTATCCCACTTGTATACTAATTTTAGACGTGGTATTTTGAACAAATCTATAGGTGAGATTGAGAGTAGTGTATGTTTCACTGACTTTGTTATGAAAGAGAAGAGTAAGTTTCTTTCGACTCAAAAATGGTTAAAGGCGAGTATGTTCATTTTTGGCGGGTCCTCGCGGTTTTCCACGGTTTCCGCGGAACTGATAAGAGATAACAACTTGGTGTCTTTGGAAAAGTTATAGCACTCGAGGTCTTCTATAACATTGCTGAAGTCAGTTATCTCTTATCTCTTATCAGTTCCGCGAAAAGTGCGAAAAATGATAAGAAAAAAAAAGTTCTATATAAAATTTGCTTTTCTATCTGCGCGATTTGCGCGCAACTGATAAGAGATAAGAGATAGATGTCTTCAGCAATGTTATAGAAGATCTCGAGTACTACAACTTTGCCGAAGACACCTTGTTGTTATCTCCTATCAGTTACGCGAAAACCGTGAAGACCGCAGAGGCTAGACGGTACTACAACATACTCTACTTTAACGCCAACAGAATCATCAGAAAACATACTCGCCTTTTCAAAAATATAAATCGAAGAAAAAACATAAAAAAACTCTCAATCTCACGCATAGAAATGCAAACTGTAAATTACATTATTTTTGAGCAAAAAACCAAATTCCGAGGCCGTTGTCATAGAGAACATTCATTTTCTTACACACATTTTATTTTCGTTTTCTTTTTTCCGATACCAAATTGTATACAATCTTATATGTTTCAATTCTATTCGTGATTCATTCAAACTGTTTTTTATTACTTGTATGATATCCGACAATTTATGCTCATATTTTATACATATAAATAATATTTGTTAGTTGAATTTAGATTGGTAACCGCATACATATCTCGATTTTATTATATAAATACCTTTGATTGAATTGAATTAGTTGCTTGATCGTTACACTATTTTTTGTTTCATACAAAAAAAAAACCAAACAAAATATGTACTAAAAAAATCTAATTCACTAAACACACATTTTGTTGTTTCGATTTAATTTGATTTGAATATGACTGACGTGCGATTATTTTGCAAATCGTTTTTTTTTCTTCTTTTTTTGTCGCCCCGTTTTCTTTCGTTGATGATTTTCGTCGTGTGCGCCATGTAGCCGTGTGTCGGTGATGCGAGGTCAAGTGATTACACCGCAAGGACTGGGAATTGTTGGCATTCGAGTGTCGGTTGATCGAGACTCACGCTTTGGTTTCACTCTGACGCGACAAGGTGGATGGTAAGTACAATTTAATTTACATTTTTTTTTTTTCATCGCCCAAACAAATGTTTTCGTTTAAGTGTGTAGCACCTTGAAATTTACGATAAAAATAATACCACTTTATTTCATCAAATCGTCTAAAATGTTCAAAAACGAACACAACAGCGAACAAACAAAAATTTACAACATATTTTGCAATAAAATTTAAGCTCTACCAAAATCGATTCAGTACAAATTTTTTCAAAATAACATGCATTGCACTTTTCGACCGAAAACTTGGAATGAACAAGTGCAGAAAAAAAAAATTAAAAAGTAGAACAACGATGAAGACGAGCAAAGAGAAACAAGAAAAAAAAATTCACAAACAAAATTACATCAAAGAAACTTAAACGGTAAAACTTTGTCAATAATTTAAATTTTCCCAATCTGGAAAAGGAAAGAAGCGTCGACGGCATGGCGCGCACACCGCGCACGTCTCAACTAGAAAGTGGAAAACTTTGGCAATATCTAAGTAAGGGAATATTAACAGTGGCTTTAGACATACACGCGCACATAGTAGCCGTGTTGGGTGTGCCAACTTTTGATAACGTGTAGAATGTGGGTGCCGCACACACATACATTTTTGACTCACCGAAAATGCCGGCGATGAAGAAGATCCAACAGACTAGATAAATTAAACGATCACTCAAGCATATTAATACATAAATACAACATTAAATATAAATTATAGAACTGTAAAGCAGCCATCTTGAGTCAGAAGGAAAAACATGGTGGAGAAAAAAAATAAGGGAAGGTGGAAAAATTTCGATGAATATCAACCGTGAAGAGATTTGAATGAGTGAGTGATGCAACATAGAGATGACAAATATTTATTTAGCAAGACCATTTCAAAAGACGACACACCACATTGCCTAAATCCAGCACTTAAACTCGGTGTGCCAAATAATACGGAGAAATGCAAATTTCACGGGCATGACGAACCACCAGCGACGACTCAAAATCAATCTTGCCTTTCGACAAATCATCGCGATGAAATCACGTTGATTCACCATTTGCCTATGGTTTTGATTGCGCGACTCCATATTTTGCTGGTATACACAAAAGTTTTCGGCAAAGTTATTAAATCTGTGCACGAAAGCGAATGAAAGAGATTTTCGGTCGGTTTTTGGTGTATTTCAACAAAGCGCTGGCCGGGCGCATTTGTTCCGGGTCTCGATAAAGCCTCTGTAAATAACTGACAGTGGAATTATTTCGAAAAAAATCTCCACCAAGATGCGTGTATGTGTGCAAGAGGGAAAGAGAGAGAGCATGGACCACATTGCCACTTACCAACGAGCAAAACTAATTTAAATGTTCATTTTCGGTTTTTGTTCGGTGTTTGCTTTTGGCACAGGTTTTTGTGCACAGAAACCAAAACCGGAATCATCAAAAGATTGTGGTTTTTCGCCTCCGTCATTTTCTTCCTATGTCAACTTTACAAATCCAAATTGAATGTTCTTTGGGCTCATTTCAGAGCGCACCAACACACACATACACACACACCGAGATGACATAATGCGGTGTGCTTGCTCGCTCTTTCGCTCTCTTGCTTTTCTCAGAGTTTCAGAGTTTTTGTTGTTTATAGCTTAACAACAAAAACTTGCAGTTCAGTTTTAATTCTAGATACTGGCATAAAAGTTTTAGGCCTCAACACAAGCCTTCCCCGTATACAATGACGTAAAAAGTTGTTGTTTATTTGAATGAGAGAAGAAAAGACAAAACCAAAAGTATGGGGCACTTTAAATGTCGCACATGCCAATGAAATGGAACGGGATTCAATGGCAGCATCAACAACAACAAACGAGCATTTCCGGTTGTGTATTCGTTTTCGCAACAATAGACACACTGTAATTAATACTACGGAAAAGTGAAACAAAACATTTATTCATAATATTATTTTGTCTCCGCAAGGTGCTCCGCCGCTTCTGTCCACAAAATTGCATGCAATCTGTTTACTCTCGTGCAAGTCCAACAATATAACTATCGCCTGGCTAGAGAAAATCATCAAAGCGACTAAAGCATATTAAAAGTTCATTTCTATATTTGAGCACTCTTTTTATTTTCCTAGTGTTTTTGCCGGCAATGCGATTTTTTTCTTCTTACTTCTCATCCATTTGCTATGAAAATGGCTGTATTATACGCATATATATCCCCCTTTTTCACCTTCCATCTACATTCGGATCGCTTCGTTCCGGATTAATTCCTTCCTAGAACTGTGTCTCTATTCGTCGCCATCAATGCAAACACGTATTGCGTAACAACAACACGCCAAATGGAACAACGCTGAATCCCATCTTGTTCGCATCGCAACCGGAAATTTTCATTTGCGACTACAAACGATAGATACACACGGAAAGCCAATAGAGACACGGAATGTGCTCCGTTCCATGTGGCAATGATGAAAGTTTTCTCTCTCACAAACAAAACTTTTGGAAAACATGTACCGTAACTTGGATTCGCGTTGCGCTTTGTTTGCAAACAAACGCGGAACGAGAGAGAAAGAGAGAGAGAGAGAGAGAGAGAGAGAATGGCTGTTTTTTTCGGTGAATATATATATATATATATTTCTGGTTGTGAGTGTTGTGTTTGTCTATAGATAGAAGAAGAAAAAAAATAATATTAAGAAGCGACTCCTTCAATAATACGCTTTGTTTTTGTCTACCCTTTGCTATTTGCTGTGCTGTTCATATAATAGCAGTGAGATGGAACAAAAATAATTGGAAGACACCACCAACAAAAGTAAATACAAAGCCAAACAATTTTTGAATAAACAAATGCGAACGAGATGGAAGAGCGAGCCGAAAGAATAAAGACCAACTTTTTGATAAACTTTTGTCTCAATTGAATACTCTTAGCGATATTGAAGCACACCTTTGAAAAAATGTATATGTATACGGCAATGGATAAAGTCCTCGAAACGATTTTTCGAGCCTTTGGCCTCCCAAATGAAAACACCTCAAAGTGGAATTGTTCGGATTTCGAATTCATTTTCTACTATATTATGAATCATACCTTTGTATGTGTGCTTGGGTTCTAATCGAAACAAGAAGAAATTAATTTCGTTCGTACGGAGACAAAAAAAAGTCGATACTTTTGCTATTATTTCTTCTTCGTGTTATTGTTTACTTTCATTGAACGCTCCACTTATCAATGACTGCCATCGGAGATGATAAAACCATTTTCATATTCCTCTCTTTTCCGTACCGTCTCTCCGCTTGTCGTCGACATTACTCTGAGATTTTTACTTAAATATCAATTTCTTTTCACGTACAATGATGCACACAAGCACGCCAGCACAACACACACACACACACACACGGTGACCAGATTAATCTCCTTGAAGCAATCCATTTTCTTACGGTGTGATGGTTTTCTGTGCTGAATCGTTTACATGGTCCGTTGTTCATCCATTTGACTATTGTTGATGTGACCAGTAAAAAATGTGTAATGTAGCGACGAATTTCATATGCAACCAAGAGCAAGTGAGTGTCATGGAATGGAATGAGGAATTATGTGCATGGCCACACCGGTACCGCAGGCCACATATTACATTTTTATTTGAAAGCACACACAACCACATAAAATGTGTGCGACCATTACCCGGAAATAATAAACGAGATAGAGATGAACTCAGGCAAACGACGACTGTCGTCACGATGAGAAATAAATATTCTTCATGTACATGAAAAATACACACAAAGACGAAAAAGAAGCAGAATAACCAGAAGAAAAACCATATCGAATAGCGTAAGCGAGGAGCAATGAACAAATGAATAGGAAATGAAAATGGTGGAAAGTTCTGGGGCCGAGAAAGTGTATTGAGATGTAGAAGACCAGCGGCAAGTTTGGCGAGAGAGAAGAAAAAAGAAAAAAGAAACGATGAGAAAAGGTACGGTTTCTGAGAAAGTGGAAATAAAAATAGACAAAAAATGGAAGACGAAGAGCCAGAAGAAGAAGAAGTTGCAAAAAAGGAGGACTATATAAATGAGAAAAAGGGGCAGAAAAAATTGATAGTTTCAAATAACGATGTAAACAGTTCCGACAAACAGAGCCGAGGCACGAGTAGAAGGGGAATCAAAATGTAATTTGTTTAATGGAAAGTACACAAAGTTTAAAATATAGATCGTTAGAGTATCGCTAATGCATTGCACATAACAACAAAGCCCCATACCCGAACCATTTTTACACTATGTAGCTCGACTCAACGAACAAACACAAACAACAACAGCAGCGCCAGCACATTCACTTGTAATCCTTATGGTTTGCTGTGGTCCGGTATTGTTGTTGCGGCCCTCGTTGAATAGCAATTTTCTAGTTGTAGTCCGATGAGCGTTGTGGCGTTGGTCGGTTCGTATTCGGTTCGGATGGTGATATTGCGACGATGGGATTTCCGTAAAATAAATTCCGCTTCAGTTTTTGATGCAAGCAAACAGTACAAAAGATATGGTGTTGCTGTTTCTCAGTGCCTTGAACATCTTTGGCCATGTTGCCAGTAAGTACTGTACAATTTACAATTTAGAAGGGGAGAGAGTGAGATATTCTCAACAACTGTACCACGACGAGATGGTTCGAAGCACGAAAGCACCATGAAAATCGAATAAAATGTGACACAAAACGATTTTAGTGAACGGTTGATAAAAAATGAAGAGTAAGAGAGATAGTGAGCGAGAGATATAGTGTAAGCGCACTTGAACTGCATCAAGTGAAATTAATGGATGAGTAGTGGAGACCAAGTTCCGTACCATATTTCGGTATTCGCAAAATAATATCGCCAAGATCTATTTGCGATGTATTTCGAGCGCTTAATTCTGTTTCGGAACCCACACATCGACTCAAGCCCAAGCCCAAGCACATAGTGAGCGCATCAACGGGAGAGAGAGAAAGAGAAAATGTCTAAAACATTTTGCCCTGATATCCAAATTGATGCATTTGCCTGGAAAAACATAACCCAAAATTATTGCATTAGATAGACAACCAAT